CCTGATTCTGGTACTTGGGTGGAAAGAGCTGGGGCCAAATCAGTATATCCCGCAGAGACCCAACAGGCACCGAAGCTTTGGGACTCACGGATGCCTTTCCTTCTTTTATCTCTCGCTCCCTGTTCACCCTTCCCTTCTCACTCAGGCTCCTATTTCCTCCAGGGAATTAACAACCAGGGCTTGGGCTTCCTAAAAAGGAGAAGGAGAGCCGGGCTGGGAGGTGGGGGGGTGAGTCTGGCCTTTGTCTCGGTCTCTAAGCTGCCCCTATCAGGTTCGCTGTCATTGGCAAAGTTATCAGGGGGTTCGCAATTAAGCCGAGATGAATCTGAGCCCTTTAGGGCGGTCTGGGGAAGACGGCAACGAAAAGGTTTCCTCCAGCCCGTGAGGGAGGTCTGTACGCCTGAGTCCCATCTTTAAACATATTTTTATTTATTCTTTGGCATTCAGATTTCACCTCTCCTCCGGCAAGGTCATAACAGCGTGTTTGGGTCTACTTCCCTACTTCCTCCCCACAACAGCCTTGCAAGGCAGGTCAGGATAAGAGAGATGGAGAAAGAGGTTAGCTGGCCCATGATCCCAGCAGACCAAACTGGCATGGAAACCATCATTAAGGGCTTCTGAAACTAAGTTTAGGTTTCTTTCCTCCTGCACTATCCCTGAAGGGTTTCCCCTAAGACAATGAAAATCACTCTCTTTCCTCTCTCTCATTCTCTCTCTTGCCTGATCCCCGAACAGTTACTCCTGTTTAATAGCCACAAGATTAGCATGGACTTGCTTCACCCTCCCAGGATACATCTCAAAGACTCCTGGCGTGGTCCTCCAGACTCCTCAAGAGCCAGTTCCCCTTCGCCTCACCGGATGGAAGTGGCCAATGGAACAGCTCTGGGATGGAGGCCCATGCAGCCCATCTGTGTTTTCCAGATGTTTCCATCTGTGTTTTTCCCCAGGGCCTGTCCCTTGCCAGCTGTCTCCCTCTCTCTTTTTACAGCCACCAGTCCGTCGTGAAGGGCAACGGCCTCCCTCCCGAGGACCGGCTCCTGAAGTTCCTGGTGGACAACTCTGGCGACTGTGAGGAGGAAGCCCAGTGTGCAAATTGTGATCTGCAGAGCACCAAACAGGTGAGCAGAGAGCCCTGGATGGGCCTTGACCTGCGGGGACTCTGGAACTCCAAACTCAGCAGCGGGGAGAATCAGCTTTGAGCCTCAGAAGCAGGAGAATTGCGTTCAAATCTTTCCTTGGCCATAAAAACTCAATGGACAGCCCTGGACAGAATAAGCACATGGACTGTTAGCATAACCAGGTTGCAAACTTCACTTCCCCTCTCTTAGTTTAGATGGGAAAATTGTGAATTGAGTTTTCCTCCCAGGAAACATTGTTCAGTAAATGACAATGACAGAACAAGAATTCAAAGAGAGAAAGAGAACTGAGATAAAATATATTCACATGTTTAGAACCCATCTCAGTGGACTCAATATAAGCCAAGGATTCTTAGGCCATTATCAAGTACAAAAGCCTGCATCTGCTATAATTCCTGGCTATACCGCACAAACCCCATTGGAGATTATGAACATCATTACCATGTTGTTCCCCTTGGCTATCGATAGCCTGGGATTCATTAAGCCACTGATCATTGTCATAGTTTACGAACAATGCTTCCCAGAAGGGGAACTGAATATCAACAGGGGCTTTAAAGGTCCTGGCCCCATGTGAAATCATCATCATCAACCATGTGGGCCCAGGAAACAATTGGTCCCTTTGTTTCCAAATTGTATCAATTTTTGCCACGCAGTCCCACCTTTCATGTCTGAAGAAGTGGACGTGATCCACAGAAGCTCACATGAAAATATAGCAGTCAGTCGTCTTTAAGGTGGCTCTTTTTTTTCTTTCTTTTTTTTCTTTTTGCCTGCTGGGGATGATAGGATTTGGTGTCTGCATTCCTTTTCCATTTTTCTTTTTTTAAACAAAAAGGCTTAACCGTTCCTATTGGAAAACACAGGAGCTAATTTTGTTTTCGCCCCTTCTTGCTGGAAAGGCTTAAGTTGCAATTCCCACTTCAGAAACATGGGGGTGGGGGGGCACCTGTTTTGCTAAGGTGGATCTGCAGAGAGAGGAATGGGGGGGGCTTTCCTGGGCACCATAATAAAGGTTCTCCCTTCCCCCCCCAGGATTTAGACGCCATGTACTTCTGCAATACCTGCAACCAGCCGCTCTGCGCCAAGTGCCGCGAGGAGACCCATAAGGCCAGGATGTTCTCCCGCCATGAGATCGTCTCCCTGACCAAGCGCACCAAAGCCGTCCACAAGAAATGCCGTAAGTGGGATTGGCCTCCCTGCCGCCGCCCCCCTGTCCCCAGCCCTCTTCTGCTTTTCTACCCTATCAGTGTTGTTCTAGGCTGTCGCCTCCGACTTATAGCGATGCTAAGGATGAGCCATCTCCAGAATCTCCTGTCCTCAGCCACCTTGCTCAGCTCTTGCGAACTCAAGCTTGTGGCTTCTTTTCGGGAGTCCATCCATCTCGTATTGGGTCTTCCTCTTTTCCTGCTGCTTTCCGCCTTTCCCAGCATTCTGATCCTTTCCGATCCATCTCATGAAAGCAGAACAGCCTCAGCTTCCAATATTTTTGCCTTCGGAGACAGCTTAGGCTTGGTTTGATCTTGAACCCACAAAATGAACTTTTAAAAAGCTCCCTGCTTTCTCAGGTATATCGTCCGTAACCATCCTGACATCCGGAGAAAAGGAGCAGCTGTGCGCCTGACCTCCTGGGAAGCAGATCAGAATTTATTTCATCCATGATCAAAGAAGATTAAACACTAGAGCCTGACAGATTTTGGGCCCTGCGAGCAAAACCTTTTCCTTAATAGAGGATTTTGCGTTTATTTCTGTTCCAGCTCTTCATGAGGAACTCTACATCATGTTCTCAACCGAGAAAAAGTCGATGCTGTGTATTAACTGTTTTCGGGACATGCCGGTGTAAGTCATCAATTTCCTTTTGATCTTTATGGCAATCAATGCTGATGGCCGTTAATAGCACATAAAATCGGGGGAGAAAAAGGAGAGTGGAGATGATACCGGTATTTGACCACTCAAGTGCTTCTCCAGCGCTAAGTGGTGAAGAAGGACAAATGCGCTGTCTAGAAGAGACCCGATGTAGGGGGAAGTGAAAGAAATAGAATAGATTTTGCCAAGTTTGAGGCTGGAGCACATGAACCGCAGAACGAACTTAACGCCTTATTCTCTGACCTGGCCTTTTCCAGGGAGAGCCGAGCACACTGCATTGATATCGAGACGGCCTACATGCAGGGCTGTGAGAAGTTAGACCAGGCGGTGATGGTAGGTACAAGAATTCCCATTTCACCATGTTTTCTCGAAGGGGAAGGCCATCAACATAGGGTTTCCCGTCACCCAAATCTCTCCTGGGCAGTGTGGTAAAGCGAGAGAAGGAGGGGGGGGATCCTCAACAAAGCTGGGAAGCCTCTTTCTGGATCTTGAGCAAGGAAGAGTCGTTACCTTTGCAAAAGACCTGCCCTTCGTTTGTTGCTTTTGGCCCCAGCCAGCTGCCTGTACCTTGGCCCTCTCCTTATTTTGGCTAGAAGGGTCATTTGTGATGAACGCATGGATTTTCAAATCTATTACGGCTGCGCTGCTCTTGTTAATAAAGGGTGCTGTGTTTTCGGGGAAGTGCCCGCAAAGACATAAACACTGAAGCCAGCCAGAAAAGATGTATAGTCTTGAGAGGAAGGAGGAGGAGAGAAGAGGGGGGAAAACATCAAATTTGGCAGTGTTTTATCTATTTCCTGCAGCCCTTGGAGTCTGTCTTTTCTGTTTCTTTTTTGCGGGGGCTGCTTTTCTTAAGGAGGGACCCTCTCCCTCTCCCTCTCTGCCCTGCGCAGGCCGTAAAAGAGCTCCAGACGTCCACTCGGGAGGCGATCGTTCTCCTGAAAGCCATGATCGAGGAAGTGCGCAACAGCGCGGACGAGGAAGAGACGGCCATCAATTCCCTCTTCGGGAGCATGCAGGCGAGTCCCCCCCTTCTCCCCCCGGGGAGATGGGTGGCAGAAGCTGCCTCGAAGAACTGGGGAGCCTGGGTGCTCAAAAGGCATCTTCTCGGGATCCATGACAGGCCCCTCTGGGTCTTTTGCAGGAGAAGTTGGCAGAACGCAAGAAGATGCTCCTGAAAGCGGTTCAGAGGTAAAGTGGGCTCCGAGGCTCGCTCCGCGAGAGGGAGGAAAGTGGCTTGGATGGCCCTGGTTCCTTCTCACAGTAGCGCGGGCCACCAAAAATGTTTTTTAAAAAAACCTCACACAAAAGCAGAGGCACATCAGGCCTTGTGGAAGCATCTAGCCACAACACGTGGTTTGGTGGTGCGCCTTGGGGCTTAATTTAGAGAAACACGGTGTCTCCCATGTGCAAGACGGAGCAGACTGACGCGGGCCAAGCTCGCCCCTGGGGTGGCTTTTGCTCTGTGGGAAAATCAGTTTTCTTTTCTTTTCCTTTCTTTTTTTCTGTTTCTGTTTCTTTCTCTTTCTGCCTGCCTGCCTTCTCTTTTCCTTCCTCCCTTCTCCCTCCCTCCTTTCTCTCTTCCTTCCTTCCTTCCTTCCTTCCTTCCTTCCTTCCTTCCTTCCTTCCTTCCTTCCTTCCTTCCTTTTCTTTCTTTCTTTCTTTCTTTCTTGCTTGCTTGCTTTCTTGCTTTCTTGCTTTCTTGCTTTCTTTCTTGCTTTCTTGCTTTCTTGCTTTCTTTGCTTTCTTGCTTTCTTTCTTGCTTTCTTGCTTTCTCTCTTTCTTGCTTTCTTGCTTTCTTGCTTTCTTGCTTTTCTTTCTTCCTTTCTTTCTCCATTCCAGTCAGTATGAAGAAAAGGAGAAAGCCTTCAAGGAACAGCTGGCCCACCTGGCTTCTCTGTTGCCCACCCTGCAGGTAAGCACAACGGGTTCCTGTTCCCAGCTCTGCAAAGGAGGAAGATCCATGAGGCAGGCAAAGATGCCACAGGCATGGGGTTCTCCCTCTGCTCCAAGATAACTTGGAACACAACTCCCATTATCCTCACACAGCACCGCCAGTGACCTGGCTTGCTAGGGAGTAATGGGAACTGTAGTAAAAACCCTTTAGGAGGGTCCCTGGGGTTGAGGAAAGCTGTGTTGTTATCTCTGTAGCCCTGGCATTGAAATTTCCAAGACAACAGGTACGGAAATCTTGCCAGAGGCCCATGCTCCACACCATGTGGGCTTCCTCTGTTCTGTTTTGGCTATTCCATGGTGGAGAAAATATAGTTGGTTTCTGTGCGCTGAGAGGCTGTGTTCTCTCTATTACTTTTGCACAGAGGTGGGGGTAATATGCACCTGAAAAAATGTGCATTTCACCAGGACATACATATTGGGTGGCTCATCATTCTTTCTTCTGACAGCAACTTACTACGCCTAAATGAATGAAAAAGGCTTGGGTAAGGATGTGTTTTAAACCCCTGGGGAGACAATTCTATTAGAGTGGAATTTGACTCGTGGAGATTTATAGCTGCCCTCTGAGTTGATGCCTGTGAACTTTTAAACATGGGAGAGGAACCTTCAGTTGGGAAAAGAATCCAGATTTGGGGAGAATATGGGAGTCTGAAAATTCCTCACACCTCCCTAGCTACAGGGCACATCTGGATATTTTCAGTATTAGAAGACTTCTGATGTGCCTTGCATGATTTCCCCCCCCCACCTTTCTCTCCTTCAGGTCCACCTGGTGACCTGTTCCGCTTTCCTCAGCTCTGCAAACAAGGCTGAATTCCTGGATTTAGGCTACGTAAGTCTTTAACCCCCCCCACCAAGCCCCAAAGTCTTCTCGTAGCTGCTGCTCCGGTGTGTGGAGGCAGAGCTGAGCAAGCACGGCATCCATGCAGAACCAGTTCTACAAATGGGCATGGTGCGAAGGGCACTATGTGGGTGCTCAGAGGCACTTCGTCATGAATAGGTCAAGAGGCAGCAGGGCCTAGTGGGTGGAGCGTTGGGCTGGGAAAAAGACAGGCACCACTCAGTGGCAACGGAGCTCCGTGGGTGACTTTGAGGGCTGGTCCCATCAGCTCCTCCTTACCCTCACCTACCTCACAGGGTTGTTGTTGTGAGGGACAAAAGCAGGGAGATCAATGATGTAAAGTTCGGACTAAAACCCGGAGCAGGCTCACTGTTCTCCCCCCTCAAAAAGCAGCCCCCAGCCTTCTCTAGGCGCGAAGAGTGGTTTTCACAATGGAAGCGCAATATTGTATTAAGCCGATGTAAGTGTTCTCCACTTCTTGTTTCAGCAACTGATGGAGAGGCTGCAGAAGATCGTCAAGCTGCCCCATCGTTTGCGCCCCTCCCAGACCAGCAAGGTGAGGCTTCCCTTCCTCGTTCGGTTAAGCGTTGCCACGTTGCATGCCCGGGGGCAGCTGCATGTCCTTGACCTCCATGGCTGTTCCCGTCTCAGCAGGCGGGGTTTGGTGGCATGCAGGCTCATAGGCAGCTTCAGCCATGAGGACTAGTGGCATGCTTCTCAAGCCAAATGGGTGGAACTCTGGATTCTGTACCTGAGATTAGCCAGACTTTGCAACACATGGGGTCTCAAGCGCCAAGGGGCAGAACGGTCCATGGCAACAGATGGGGAGCAGAAAATGATTTACTTTTTTTTCTTTCCAAAATTATATTCTTGCATGATGAAGTGCAGACACCTCCTCAGGAGGATTCTCCCCCCCCCGCTAGATCCCCAGTTGGTCCCGAAACACAGACAGGGGTGGATTTTTCTCAACACAGCTGTTGCAGCAGATTTCCTATCTTCCAAGAACAGGCCTTTTGTAGAGTGAATGGCTCTTAATGGCCCATTCAAGACCAAACAGACTCCCAAAGCTTCACATGATAGCAGGAGTGGCTCACAAAGACATATTGTACGGGAGGGGGGGGGGAACAATGCCTTTTACACCCAGGCACTGTGAGGATTTTAGCTGGACAGTGCTTCCGATTGAAATCCCAATGACGCCACCCTAAAAATTCTGACTTCACCATGCTACCGTTACTTTGCAATGTTTAATCCGACTTTTCCAGGACCTTGAAGCCTGACATTATGCCTATCTCCACCTGGACTCCTTATCCTTTTGGGTGTGTGTATGTGTGTGGTGTGTGTGTGAGAGAGGAAATGCCCTTTATTTTGATGCCAGAATATGGGTCAATGTTTTGCAAAGCATAGTGGCAGGACCCGAAGCAGTCATTTTTCTGAGGGACCCTCACCTTTGTCGTGAAAGCTTGCAAAAAGCTGCTTTCCCCAGTAACCTGGGGGATTCTGGAATTCGGAGCACAAACCCTACCAACTGTAGGCCAAACCAGTGCATGGATATTCGGACTAAACTATTCCTCCTTCCAGATCAACACCGAATACCGAGCTGAGTTCGCGCACTGCTTGGAGCCGCTGCTGCTTCTGACCCCGCGGCGCTCTGTGGTGGTGAACGGCGGGAGCATCGGCCCTGGGATAAGCAACAGCACCATGTGAGTCACTTCCGTTTCCTCTGTGGAGAGGGAAGCGGTTTGCCCTGCTTCCAGCTTCCTTTGTTTCCAGCTAAAGAGGGGCCAAATGGGGATGAAAACCATGTTAGAATCACCCAGTGGATTCTGCACCCAGCTTCTCAAGGGAGGAACAGACAAGAGCTAAGCTTGACAATTAGAAGGTGATAAGACATTGACGTTCCTGGGTAGAGATGGGCATGGACTGCCAGTTCGTCTGTTGGTCCAACAGGTGTGTGGCTGTTCTTTATTCCAGAGGCATGTTCTTCACAGCCGATGCACCTTCAGCATACAAACAAAGCACTGTGTTTACCGTATATCCCAATCAAAAGCAGGCTAATTTGCTACTTACAGAGCAAAGCATTTCTGGGAGATAATCAGAGGTCCTCAACTTTTTAAGAGGCCTCTGCTTCTAACTGCAAAGCTCCCCACATCTGTTTCTGCCCTCAGCTATGGGTGTCCTCGGGACGTCCAAGGGGGGAAAAAGCCACTCGGATTAGCAAGCTGAGCAGGCCAACCAGCTCCTGGAAGCCTAGCTGACAGATCTGGAAGCTGTAGCATCAGAACTTCCTCGTGCAGCTGGCACTGGCCACACAGAGGGAAACAAGAGGTGCCCTTTGTCAGCTCAGATGCCCGGGGAAAAGTTACAGAAAAGGTAGCTGAACGTCAGACCCCCGTGCTCTGATTTTCCTACTCCATTTGAAACAGTGGAGCTGTGTGGAAAACTCAAGTCTTTCTGACAGCAGGGTTAAAAGCAGGATAGGCTATCTGAACTGGAAAGTCTCCCTTGGAAATCACAACAGGGTCCCTCTCTCCGATAATAATAATGACCTTTGAACTGCCGAGCCAGAAGGGACCCCATGGGATCATCCAGTCCATCCCCTGTCAAGGAGGCCCAGTGGGGGAATCGAACTCCCAACCTCTGGGGTCCACAACCAGATGCCTAAACCCCTGTGCTATCCAGCTTCTTGTTATCTGTTCCTGATTTCTCATCATTCCCGGTTTTGTTGGACTCGTTGCTTTTTATGGTGCTTGTTTATTGCCTTTGACTTTCTGGTAGCCGCTGTGTGTTTTTGTTACCTGCCACAGAGTGGGCGTCAAAATAGAGCAAATAAGGCTTCCAGGGTGAGCGTTTCTCAGGAATGGTTTGACCATTGCCACACACTTCTAGTGAGTTTATGCGGCTGAGCTGGGATTCGAACTCAGGCCTCCTGAGCCTTAGTCTGTCGCTCTACCCACTCTACCACACTGGGTATCTTAGATGCTTTTGGGGGCCCCTTTTTAGGGGACACAGAGAGAAAGAGGATGTTATTATTTTAAATAAATAACTCATTGGCTTCAAGATGGACCCTTTAAAAATTCAAGCAGTGTTTTGAAGAGGGTTTGTTGTTTGGACCAACCTGGAATCCTGGCTAGGGGGGTGTCTGGGATCTGGGGTGAAAATCAACTTCGGTTCGGTGATGAGCGGAGAAAGGGGGGATATGGGGGCAACAGCCCCCTTGATGCCCACTGGACAGAGCGCAAGGAACACGTACGATATGGTGAGGTATTTAAACGACATTGCGTGTTTCCCATGATGAGACGGTTTCAAGAAAGGAGCTAAGATTGGCTCAGAGGCTTGGTGAGGGCAGCAGGCCAGGCAGGCAGGCAGGCGTTGTGGCGGCTTCTTATTGATCTCTCGCCGGGAGCCTGCCTTCAAAGTGCCCCCTCTTTCTCAAAGACGGTCCTTCTGGCTGGAATATCCTTCTTCTGGCCACCATCATGCCAGTCCCTAAGGAAGAACTGGCGTTGCTAGAACGGGAAAACCTTGAGCACCTCTCTGTTCGGTCCCTTGAAAAGATCAGACTCCAGGCTCACCTCCTGTGGCTTCTCTAGACCTCACCCTGCCTGCAGCGTGCACCTCCATCTTCTTCCTTGCAGCTTACCTGCCGTAGAGCAATTTGCAAAACAATTCTCTCCCTAGACCACCCTCCACCCCCCAAAACACAGACACCCAACAACAAGCCTGGCAAAAGCATTTGTCCCTATTTTTATCAGAATTTCAGAGAACTCCCAGGGACGCAGTTCCCTGGCACTGGATATATTTAGGCCCATTGACATCACGGGACGTTGGGCGCGCGGGGGCGGCCCTTGTGTTCTGCCTTCAGGGGCTCTCTCCACTCAGCGGGATCCAGAGTAGGGGCGGACGATGCTTTGGGTGGGAGGCCTCCGGGCAGAGAAGCAGGAGGCCGGGTCTCCCAAGCCTCCGGGGGAGAGGAAGAGAGGACGCAGGGAGGAAGAGGGTGGCGGACGTTGTCCTCTGAGACCTCTTTGGGCCAGACCTTCCGAACCGTAAGTGGAGAGCTGAGGGTTCAACAAGAGAGCCAGGCTGAACGGATCTCAGTGGAAGAATTCCCGCAAAGATCCGTGGGTTGTTTATTTAAGGGGGTGATGCACATTCTGAAACAGTGAGAGCTCGAGGCTTTGATTGGGAGTGGGGGTCAGGAAGTCCTGGGTTCGAATCAACGCTTGAGCACAACAAAGCTCATTGGGCGATCACCTTTTAGCCCAAACTACCTCAAAAGGTTATCGTGAAGCTACAGTGAGCGAACTATCTAGTTGGGATGGCTGAGGGTGATGGACCGTCTGGGGATATTCTTAGTGAACCCATTGGGTTTTTACTGAAATTTTCACCCTGTTTCCCAGATGGAGGACTCTTGGGGGTGTGTGTTGTGTTCTCTGGTTCCCCAGCCAAACAGAAGCTTGTAGGTTCAGAAGAAGGCCCAAAGGGGGTGTATGTGTGATACCTGTGCTTCTTTGTTGGAAAAACCTGGGTGTGATGGCCGATCCACAGTGTCCTCCGTTATAGCTTTAAAGCTGCAAATCCAGCGCGGCCCACCTCTTTCCTCACTTACATCAAAGATAAATGCTTGGCGGAATCCATTGGCCATGAATTTTTAGGACGCCCAAGTTCTTTGCCCTAAATGACAAGACATGCCTGCCAGCCTGATGAAGTGGGCATCTTGATCCACGAAAGCTAGCAGGCTGTACGATTTCTTTAGTGGGCTGTGAAGGCATGGCCTCCTTCTGCATCTGGGAAAAGAATTTATATCAGAAACGGTGAGCAGCGCTAGTATTTTTTTATTTTTCCTAAGCTTTTTGTGTGTCTAAACACCAGTGACGGATCTACATTTTGGGGGCCCTGAAACTCGAACTGTTATGGGGGACCCCTTCACAACCAGCGACAGGATCTGGTAACCGGCGGTACCTTTTTCAATGGGGTTGTTCCACAACAGATCTCCACAATTTTAAAAAATGGTCTGAAGTGGCTTCTGGGGCCCCTCCGGGATTAAGGACCCTGAAGCTTACGCTTCATTAGCTTTGTAGTAGATCTGTCTGTGAAAAATACACTCCTCCAGATGAATGAAGTGGTCCTGTCTCCCTCCATTCTTCTAAAGAAGTGTGCTTAGACACACAAAAGCTTATGGAAACTAAAAACCAGTTAGTCTTACGGGTGATGAATGACTCTTTCTGGTATATACTGTTTCTCAAGAGACCAACATAGCTGCCTTATCAGAAAACAGGGCCTCTACCTTTGGGGAGACGTCTTTCCCCCTCATGGGGACGTGGGTGGCGCTGTGGGTTAAACTGCAGAAGCCTCTGTGCTGCAAGGTCGGAAGATCATCCGTCGTAAGATCGAATCCACGCAACGGAGGGAGCTCCCCTCGCTTGTCCCAGCTCCTGCCAACCTAGCCGTTCGAAAGCATGTAAAATGCGAGTAGATAAATAGGCACCATCTCGGTGGGAAGGTCATGGCGTTCTGTGTCTAGTCGCGCTGGCCACGTGACCACGGAAACTGTCTTCGGACAAACGCTGGCTCTATGGCTTGGAGACGGGGATGAGGACCACACCCTAGAATCGGACACAACTGGACTAAATGTCAAGGGGAACCTTTACCTTTACCTTTGCTTTCCTTTTCAACAAGCCGAGTCCTGCTCTCCAAGGCCCAGCTTGATGAAGAGTGTTATGTGTCTCGAAAGCTTGCCCGCTTATGATTGTTCAGTGCTCCAGTAAAGGTCTCACCTCCCCATTTCCTGCATGTCGCTCTTTGGTCCAAACCCTGTTCTTTCCTTCCCACACCGTGGCTTGGCCACTTTCTCTCATGCTTCCCGCCTCCAGGATATCGGGAGGCCCAAGTTCCAAGACCCTCCTGGTGCCCGGCTGCTCCTCGGCCTGCGAGAAAATGTCCCTGACGGGCTCGCTCGTCCGGAAGCCGACCCTGCACCGCTACATCAGCACCAAAGTCCTGCTGGCCGAAGGCGGAGAGACGCCGTTCGCCGACCACTGCCGCAACTACGAAAACATGTACCGGGTAAGGGCCAGCGCTGGTTGCCATGGTGGGCAACCAGTGGCCACGCAGAAGCCCATCAGGAGATGGGGCAGGATCATGAGCAAACCTGAGGCTCTCCGACACGGATGCTCTTGCAAATGGAACACAAAGATAGCCGAGCTTGGAAAAGTTATTTTATTTTATTTTTTAAACTACAATTTGAAAACCTTGAGTCCCACCTAGCTTGCTTCCAAACCCACGGGTAGAACGGATGCCACTGACCAGGAACCCCCATCCTCAGCTCATGAAATGCTCTCGTGACCCAGTCCTTCTCTCTTCCAGGCTCCCCATTTATGCCTGTCTTCTTAGCTTCAAGTGTGAGCTTTCCCCTCCTTCTACAGACCTTCCAGAGACCTCGAAGCCCTGGCAGGGCAGAACTGGGTTGGGCCAACGGGTAGTTCTCTGTGCGTCCTCTTGCAGGCCCTTCAGACGGAGATTCAGAACCTGAAGGATCAGGTGCAGGAGCTGCATCGGGACCTCACCAAACACCATTCCCTCATCAAGACCGAGATCATGAGCGAGATCCTGCAGAAGTCCCTCCAGATGGACGTGCAAATCGCCTCCGAGTATTCCTCTGTAGAGATGATGAGGAGCATCTTTGAAGAGGTGAGTCGGTTTCAATCGTTTCTGGTCCAGCACAAGCCCAGGACCGGTTTTCCCTAAAGGTATTTTCTCTACCTGTGAATCACAATTGGGTCTCCCCCCCACCTCAACAGAGAAAAAAACAAGATTCTAGTCCTTATGACTACAAAGGTTTGCTTGGAGGTGTTTACTCAAGGTGAGCCTGAAAACTTAAGAAGCATTTTTAAATGTTGCCGTGAGGGTGTCCTCAGCGTTCTTGATGTTCCCAATGACCCAACGGGATAAAAGAAATTAAGGTGAAATATGCAGAATCATTTAATTGGTTTCGTGCTTAGAGAGGAAAAAATTGATAATTGTCATCAGTTTTTCTCAGAGGAGGCTTGGGGGCCCTAGAGGGGGAAAATAATTATTTTATTCTGCATGATCCTATTATGCATAAAATCCTTGTACCTCCCATTAAACAATAGGATCAAGAAGTGTGCATCCTAGGATCAAATCCAAGCCCACTGTGACCTCAAGCCACACTGTGGGTTTCTCAAGAGCACCACATCCCCTTCCCTGTAAATACATCATTGGGTGATCTGCTCGGCTTTTGTTTTGAATTTTTGCCCATTATGAAAAGTTGAAATGTGACCCCCTCTTAAAACTTAGGCAGTAGCAGCCTTTAAACGGCACTGGTGTTTTCGCTCCCATCCCCTTTTGCCTTTGGAACTGCCCACCACTGGAATCCAGCCCGAGAGAACTTCTCCAAAGTCCAGTTTGGACCTCAGTGGGCTGAAAGGGGTTCCTTACACTTGGGTTAAACCTGAGCCACTGGAGACACAGCAAAATTGCTCCCCACGCTCCATCGAATTAGCTCATTAAAGGCTAACAAGTCAGTTAAAGGCGTCATGTTGTGTATTAAAGCATCTTAAAGCTGAAGAAGGCATGGGAAAGCCACAAATGACCATCATGGATGCTTCTGCAGCCTTGCTAGAAGCCAGCGCCCTATTTTTGCCTGCAGAAAAGTGGTGGACGGCAGGTCCTCCATGGGTCAGGGGCATGTGACTCCGGCCTTCCAGAGCCTGATGCCCCCACAGGTCCGGATGATTGCCTGACCCATCTGGGACTTCTGGGAGTTGAAGTCCAGAAACATCTGGGTGGCCAAAGGTCCCCCACCCACCCCCACCATCGGTTGCAGGGGCCAAATTTATTGGACAGCCTGGCCATTTGGCATACTACCTGTGAATCATGCAGACCAGAGAGAGTAAGGAGCTACGCCATGCATGAAAAAGACTTCCGTGCCCTACAGTCTCTGGTGGCTGCCTTCAGCCCATCATCCGTGGTGGTTGCCAAGATCTGAGCACGGAGTCCTCCGGGGGGGTGGGGGTCTATGTGGCTGCCTTCTTGTGCAAGAACTAAAGAAAGCTGAGGTTTTAAACGACAGAGTCCTGCAGGAAAAGGCCAGCCTGGTGGGCTTTCGGTGGCCCCCTTGATCAGTCACTGACCTGCTCAAACATGATTTTCCCAACTCTTGTGTTTGCAGACGTGGGAAGAAACCTATCAGCGGGTGGCCAACGAGCAAGAGATTTACGAAGGTAAGGTGTCCACCCCTCCTTCTCCCCCTGCCTCTCCCTGAATCCAATGGGGAACGGATGCTTTCACCCACAAACGGGGCTCAAGATTACCTAGACTGGGTGACGAAGAATAATCATCATGTCAGGTCAATTCTGACTCATCCCTTCTTAAGAGATCTTTTAGAACATGGCTGTTTAGACAAGCTTTTCCCAGATGTTCTATCGACTAGAGTGCAGTGGTGCTTAAGTTAGTGGCTCTGCCACCTTGTGTCGAGCCCCTCCACCCCTTACCCTGCGCTTCCTTCTCTCTCTTGCAGCTCAGCTCCACGACCTGCTGCAGCTGAAGCAGGAGAACAGTTACTTGACCACCATCACCAAGCAGATTGCCCCCTACGTCCGCTCAATTGTCAAAGTCAAGGAACGGCTAGAGCCCAGGTCAGTCCGCCCTCGACCTCCGGCCACAAGGCCCTCCGGCCTCTCCGGGTCGCACCTGTGCTGTGTGATGTTCCCTCCTCCTCTTTAAAAAATCACCTCTGCACGTAGTGTAGTGGTCAATAAACTCAGTTGTCCTCTTGCCCAGGAACAAGGCTTTTGTAAAGCTAATGGCTCTTAACTGCTCCCTCAGAGGCTTCTGCCAGGGTGGGTGCTTTGCTGCCCGGCCTCACTCTGCTGCCCAGATGGTTTTGCTTTGGAAGCTTTCAGACTTTTCAACAACGATGAGATTCAACAGGTGAGGGGGAACGAGTGCTCACGTTCCAAAACGAGAAGACGTCATTCCTTAAAATCAGAGGGGCGTGGTAAACTAGTCAGTTCTGCCCCAATGATCAGACGACCATCCCGGTTCACGTGTCCGCCTTTCCCTTGGTGTGCAGGTTACAAGAAGCGAAGGAGAAAGAAGACCAGCTGGAAAGCCTGCTCAAAGTCCATGACGATGGCCCCAGTGGGGATCTGCAGCACAGGTATCTCGAGCCACTTGGGGACCTCAAAAACACGTCAGGTCTCCCCGGCGGCATGCTCAAAGGCGCAAGAGCGGCACCTTCTCGACCTTTGACTCTCGGGATGTTGTTGGACTCCCTAAGGGCCCCAGGGATTCTGGGAGTGGAAGTCCAGAGCCTCTGGCTGGCCAACAGGGGGTGAGAGGTAGTTGTCGCACTCAAGGGTTCCCCCAATCCTATTCACTTAACAGATGGTGCAGGTTTTAAGCACCCCAACCATCCCCCAAGGTAGATCTTCCTTTGTGCATCCCACCTCAATGCTGAAATCAGGTGTATGACCATTTTTGGGCAGAGGGATGCTTTACAGAAGGGAGAAATCGCTGCAAAATTACACCTCCAGATGTTTTTCAGTGGATTTTAGCCAAGACGAGTATTTTCCAAAGAGCTGCTCATGCAAACCCATGTACCAACAGAAGCAGCTACTCACTGCCTTCGTTTGGTAAAGTAGAGGCTGGCCTTCTGTTTCCAAAACGAAGCAACTGCTTGCTTAAAAGACCCCACTTCCTTTCTTGCCTTTAGCCTGTCTGAGTTTGGGGACCCACCCTCAGGGAATTCGTATATTTATACAGTATAGAACTGTAACACCGTTTTAATAGGACAAAAGCCAAGTCTCGACACCCATTGTTCCAAGAGGACAGAACAAAGAGGGGAGGGAGGTAGTGCCGCTGGCATCAAAGCCCCCTTCCTGGTCATTAAGATGGCAAGAAGGTTTCCAGGCTCAACAGAAATAGGGCATTCACACAAAAAACAATATTTTGTGTGTCATCACCCTTTTTTTGGGGGGGGGGCAAAATTGCACTCCTCCTGCAATGGCACAGCCTGCCCCAAACGAAAACAACAGCCGTTTTGTTTAAGAATTTGAAGCACCGAATGGTTTGTTTGTTTCTCAGCCATCTGCCATGTGTGCCACGCGTGCACCCTTGCTTTGCTTCCCAAAATGAAGACAATCTCATGGGAGTTATCCAACCCAGAGGTGAGGGTGGTGGAAGTAAAGAATCTTGAGACGTCTTTGCATTCAGACAGCTGAAATCAACAGGGATAAAGAATTTCGTAAGTATTCCCCCAACCACCACTCTCGATGCACGTGGAAGGCCATCAAGATTTATTTGGAATACACTTTCCCCTCCTCTGCAGAAAAAAGTAGGCCACAGTCCCCTGTAATGTGTGTCAAATAAAAATTTGTTCGCCAATAAGCATGCTGCAAAGCTTTGCCTTGTTTTTGCTGCAACAGCCTAACACAGCTACCCGGCTGGAAATTCTTCTAAGGGTCCCGTTTCTCTTCTTTCCGAGGACTGACTCATGTAGCAATCCTAGAAATCAAGAGCAGCCTCTGGAACCCAACGCTGAAAGCCAAGTCTGCCCTGCCGGGGAGCTGCCACCACTGAAAAGCTAAGAGATCATTTCAAGAGTAAACTGAAAAAGCAGAGCCGAGAGTTGCCGGCCATCAGCGGACTCTCGCAACGCAGCCGAGGGAGGGAGCCAGGAAGCAGAACTGCTCTTATGCTGAAGGTGCACTAACTTTTCCTTACAGTCAAGAAAACTTAGGAACTCATTTCCAAAGAGACGCGTCTTCAGAAATACCTGTACAGGGATCTTCTGCAGTGGTAGGACGATGCCACCTCGGCAATTCAGAGGTTTGCCGATTTACAGCTTTCGACTACATCTGCCCGGGGAATTCTGGGAATTGCAGTCCAAAATACAAATCTGCATCCTCTTAAGTCCTAATAAGGGGGATTTCCAGGGTCTTTTTTTTTGGCATTATTCTGCTGTTTATTGCTTGTGTCATTTGTTCTGCGGGTTTGGTAGGATGAAGGTTTTAGCCTTAGGGCACCTCCAGCCATTAGGAATTTGACTCTCAGATTTTCCTCCATCCTCTGAGCTTCCACCCATGTTCTCCCGACTCTTATCTTTGGCGCTAAGGGCTACAGAGACATGACTCTCTCTTAAAACAGAGAAAGCCAGGTTTATTGTGTGTGTGTGGGGGGGGGGTTGTTGCTTTTGGCACTCATTCACCACCAAGCTGATGCATCTTCCGCACTTAGGGTGGAACAGCCAATATTCCTCAGTGGTGTCCTGCCTTTTGGGGTTTGCACAACGAATTTGCTAGAATTCAAATTTGCTAGAATTCGGCTGGATTGCAATATGGCTGGCTCCTGCTTGCAGGGTAAACAAAAGGTGGAAAATACACAGCTCCCCGGTTGTTTTCACACTGCCACACCCACAGCCTCTCCTTGCTGGCCACCCTGGCCAGGGCTTTTTCTAAAGCCACCCAGTCCAAAAACATCTGGGAAGCCATAGATTTCCTGTCACAAAGTGCTTTAAAACAGGGAAGAAACTATTTTATTTCACCTACTTCTTGTTCAATCAAGAACGACTGATGGTAGGGGCAATTACCATTCCTCACCATGTTTTTCTTCAGAGACACATCATTTTTATTTGAAAAAAAAGGGAGGGGGAAGAGTTTCATCAACATTTGCCAGAGATAAAAAATGTTAAAAATATATATATTTTTTATTGATCTTGAAAAAAAATAACACTGAACGGATCCCCCACTGAGCTGTTTTGCCACCAACTGATCCAAAGTAACCTGGACAGCATGATGTAACCTGTCTCTCAGTTTTTTAAGGTAACAAAACAAAATGCCCCCAGCCCAACCCCAAAATTTGCAGGGGGAAACCATGCCCTATTCTTTTCCAGGCTAGTTCCCCTATGGGACAGGCCTGTGTACCCCCCCGCAGAAACAAAAAGCAAAATAAGATTTCTGCATCAAAATTCTGTTCCACAAAAAACAGTATTCTGCAATTTGTTTTGAGCTGTAACTGAATAAATCCGCATATGCTACTCTGGTGCTTATTCGCTTCTCATTCTTGAGTTCTGGAGAATGAGAAGAAGTGAAAGCCCCCTAAAAGATGGGGTTCCCAGCCATCAGGGCTGTGAAATAACCCTTTGAAAAAAGAGCTAAACGCTTCTGCCCGCCTGCTGTACTGCTTGCTCTCATGGCATCCACACCGTTCTGAGGGGGAAACCCACCCAAACGTGTCATCCTGTTTTACTTCTATGCAGAAAATAAAGTAGAATAGAATGCCTTCCTTCCTCTCTTAAATCACATCCGCGGAAAAGTGGCACAGTGATTTAGGGTGCAAACTTAATGGACAGAATTCATTTACATAATTGCAGTTAGGAGAGCAAGTCCCACTGAGACATTCAGAAGCAACCACCCCCGAGAGCCAACCTTGTACAAAGCCCAGCTAAGAAAACCAGACCTGCCTTCTGCAGGGAGATCAGTCACCCACACCGCGACAGTGAGGGGTTCGAGGGTTACCGTTTTATCCACATCGTTTCATATCCCTTCAACAGAGAAAACAGCCACATAAAAATGAAACAAAGTCAACCGGCTAGGCAGCTCATCTTCGGCTTTGGCTGGTGATTTTCCTTCTGCCCGGACCCTAAAACAAGTATTTGATCCAGCAGTGTTATTTGACCATTTTCATTCCTCCCCTTCTCCCACCCAAATAGCCGGGGAAGTTTGTGGGCCACACAGCTCAAGGTGACCAACAGAGGACTCCCAGCCCTGAATTAACTCAAAAGCTGAATTGCCAAAGACAGAGCCTTCTGTCTGTTGGAAATGGGGCAACACTTTTGCCTTTGACCAGGTCCAAGCAATCTCGCTCTCTGCAGTCCAGGTGCCCATGATGCCCATCGGGCACCAAGGCTGGGCCCTCTCCCATCCTCCCTTTGCTCCTCAGCTCAAGCCTACTTCATCTGTGAAAGCTCCCACCGAATGGCCAGCCCAAACAAAACTCAGCTCATGGACCACAGCTTCAGCTGTTTTTCTTCTTCCCCAACCCCGTCCACCTTCGTGCCAAAAACCTTGTGCCACGATTCACCCTTTAAAAGTCCTTCCTACGAATTCTAACGTGGCCGGGGGGCGGTGGGCAGCCATGCAGAGTCCCGAGGCCCCACTCTGTGTAACCGCCCCCCCCACCATTCCACACAACTCCAGCAAAAATTAAAAAATAGTTTAATTTTTTTTTAAAAAGCAAAAATTTAAACAGGGGGAAAATAATTAAGACTGAGCCGCATGCATGCCTTTCAACATCTCTCGACCTTTTTTTTAAAAAAATGAGTTTCTAGCCCTCTTGTCCTTGCAACGTAAGAATCTGGTAGAAACTCAAAATTCAGAAAGTATACAGAATAAAGTCTCTAGAGTTTAAACATCTGAATTCCCCCACAGCTCTTTGATCCACTCCATAATGTAAAATATGCAAAAAATTTACAGAGAAATGCATTTATGTGAAATGAGAGAAATGAGAAAATTATGTATTTTTAAAAGTGTGGAATTCCTGTGCTCACCCATGGAATGTTCTGTGGGTATCCCGGTCTTTTTTTTAAATAAAGGGACACCCAGCCCTGCCTAAAGATGGCTTCATTTTCCTCAGCAAGAAACAGATGAACTGAAAGTCAAGGGCAAATGGACACATCATGAAACATAGACATGAAGCGAGAAAATAAAAATTTATAGTGTAATCAAAGGCTTGTCTCTGGCCTGTTTTGATTTACAAAACAAAAAAATGACTTGGTGTTCTAACTGCTCTGTTTTTTTTAAAAAAAAAATATTCTGCCAAGTCCTGATGCTTTTAAAAGTTACGTCGTTCAGGGAAAGGAAGGAGCTTAAGAATTAACCTTGCGGTGCGGGCAGAATTCTAGGGAACTGGTCCATGAACAGAAAAATAGGGGCACCTTTACTAAAGCAGCATCTGTACATGACATGTGCCCTTGATCGACACATCCGAGCTAAAGACAGATCAACAGAATCAGGAACCGGAGGACTTCTCTTTGGTATGAAACATGAGCCAAAGAATAAATACCTTGATACCTAAAAAGGAAAGCCCTAGAGGTCCTCCTGAATTAGGGATCTTTGGATCTGCCAATACTTGAGATTCTGTCTTTCACAGCCCCCCACTCACATGCTTATTGGCTTGGGGGGGGGGAAGGATTGGTGGGTGTCACAGACCAGAAGGCTCAGTGGGACCTTGTCTGAAGAGAGAGAAAGGATTAACTCTCATTTTTATCAGTTATGTAGCGTGCAGAATTTCCCCCTCTTACAAACCAGCATAGGAACGGACACTCTGAATATTCTAACATCAGAAGGGAACAAATAAAGAAATAAAACTAGCAGCAAAGCAGCCATGGACAAAGGGGTGGAAGGAACGAGATGACAAGACGGAGGGATAATGCGGTGAATTGGAGAAGATAATATTCAGACACTAGAACTGTATTTTTTCCATCCAGCCTGCCTTTGCGTCCTTGAGAAAAACAGGGAAACCGCCCCCCCCCCAAAAGGCCTCCCTCTTGCCAGGAAGGGGAGAGTCCTCAGTTGACCTGCCTGGCTGATCTTTTTGGCGAATTTTCTTCGTCATCATTAATTCATGTGGGTGTTTTTGGGTGATCGAAACAAAGAGTTCAAGCGTTTCAAGGAACAAACAGGGAGCAATCATTGGGGGTGAGGTCTCAACCCGCCCCTCTGCCCTGTCAAGCCATGGGGGAAGTGCTCTGCACCTGAAGGACGTCCAGAATCAGGCCCAGAGGTTAAAACTGTGCTATGCTGGCCCTTCAGGAACAAAAGGAAGATTTTGGCCAGGGTGGGTGAGCTTCCATCCATCCCCCTCTGTGCTGGGGAAGAATGGTCATTACCTGAAGTGCGTGCGAGTCTTTGAAGATAACCTGCTACAATGTGTTTCAGTCCATCAGAGCTGCAAGAGGCCGACAGACAAGGAGGAAGGGGCTTGCTTTGCTTGCTTGCATTCTATCAGCCTTAATTCAAGTGCCGCTTTAGTCACCCAGGCCTCCTCCACCTTTCTCGCTTTATGCCAAGGGAGGCCTTTTCTTTGATTTCTTTTGAACAATGATGAGCTGAGGTCTTGAGCTTTGGTCTAGCCCTTTGCAAGCTCCCATGGCGACTTCAGATATGTAAACAACTACCAGACCAGGGCGGCATGCGGCGCCACGACTCCAGTCCAGATGGCAGTGCCCAGAGCCTTGGGGGGCTAGGGAAATCCCAGGTCCTGCTCAGGAGACGGCCAGATCTCATAATCCCACTTTAACTCCTGGGATGAACGGCAACCCGGAGGGCACTCTCCTCTTATACGCCAGGTACTCTTCCCCAAAGAAATGGATCAGCGTTATCTCCTCCTCCTCTATCCGTTCTCGGAAGAAGCGCCAGGAGGCCAGGGTGTAGGCCACCACACAGATGGGATTACACAGTAGCACCTGGAACAAGAAGGGCAGAAGAACTTCTGATCCTGGATGACCCATTTGAAAGAGCAACAGGGTGTCAAGAGAGGCTCCCAGGACTACGCAGGCAGGCCACCTCACTCCCTGTGTTCCGAAACCCAACAAGCCTGGCCTCATTAACGTGGACTTTTCTTACAGGGTTGTTGTTAATAGTTATAATGAGACAAGAGGCCTATGGGGCTTTGAATGCTTCTGAAAACCATAAGCAGTAAACATTATTTTCCACTGGCGGGAGGGTTGAGTGCAGTTGTTACTGTTTCTATACTGCTTATCATCTGCACAAAGGTCACATCAAAAGTTAGGTGTGGGGCGGAGAATCTGAATAATCCCCAAAGCCCAAAACGCATTTCTGCAGAAGAAACAAGACGGTAGAGGTTTTGCTTTCTTCGACAAGTTGTCTTACACCGCCAACACACGTGGTTGTTGTTGTTTTTTTAAGTGCAATATAGGGAAAGATCAGAACTGCCTCATGGCAGAGGAAAAACCCAAGCAAACCAGGAAGTGTTCAACAAATGCCTAAAGCACGTTGCTAGAATAGGCTGTTAGCTTACTGTCACCATGTGTAGTATTCCTGAATTGGTCTCTGTGTCTCTGAGGTTGGAACACCACTCCACCCATGAACACACACACACACACATAAAAGAGCTACATGTGGGTTCCGTCGCCATCATACCTGGGTTCCAATACTCCAGTAAAACCACCCCACGTAGGATGGGTGGCGGAACCAGCCATAGACCCCTCTCGTCACCAGGGTGTGCGTTTCTGACTTTTCATTCTGAACGATGTGGTTGAAGTTGGAACCGGCCGTGAGCATCGCCGCTTTCCTCAGACAGTCGCCAAACACCACCATCAGCAAGCCGGCGGAGCTCAGCCACGTGATCTGCTTCATGCCTGCAAGACAATGAGCGTGTTACAGCACGCCTTGCGTGTCGTTCATTCATATCATAAAAGTGTGTGTGTGTGGGGGGAAGAAACTGCTCCCCAACCCCACATGCCTTCCCACTGCCCTGCGCTCCTAGTAAGTGTACATCAGAACAGTAGCTCCCTATCTTGGGTCATGCAGGTGTTCTTACCGTTCCCAGGTGCCTTCTCCACCCGAGATGTGCTGGTCCGGGTTTCTGGGAGTTGCAGTTCAGGAACCTCTGGATGACCCAAGTTTGGGAACCACTCCACAAGAATCAGAAGCCCCCTCCTCTTTCTCCTGAGTAAAAACTTGCCAGAACAGCCACTGACCTGGGAAAATGAATTTTTCCACGGTAAACTCGACCCAGGAAGAGAGGGCTGCCATGTTATATTCAAAACTATGGTTGAGCAAGAAGGAATCTAAGGAGAGGCTTCGAGGGTTGTTCACAGCGGTCACCAGGTACTCCGAGTAATGGAAGAGAGACAATGAACACATATACCTGCAAAGAGACCAACCAAAGAAGGTCAGAGGGGACCCTGCAACACACACACGCTGCCCCCACCACATTGCTGCTACTTGCTGTGCTTTCACTTAAGGATTTCTGCTCCGAAGCGCTGCAGAATTAAACACCCCACCCAACTTTAAGTTTCAGTCTTCAAAAAAGACTCTCGCAGAGGGTCAGAAACTGTATTAGCATGTAGATCTTGACCATGAAATGCTGTTGTCACAGAATGTGACTGGATTTGGAGTTTGGCTTTTACGTTTTAGCTTTCCCGATGGGATGTGCAACTGGATTAAAGGGCCAAACTATCGTGAGGTGAACGGGCTGGCTCCTACTTTCTTTAGCTGTCCGAAATAGGCAAGAAAGCAATTCCTCCAAACATAGGGGTGAAATCTTCAGCCTTGAGTGGTCTTTTCAAACGTTGGGTTACAGAGGTGGCAAACTCCAGTTTTGACCTATTTTAAACTTTAAAACTTGACATGGTGTGGGGATCATGGGCTAGTCAACTTAGATAAATAAAGAACGGGCTGGCGAATAAAATTAAAAAGGCAAGAGAAAAAGCGGCAGACATGTGCAGCATGACTGTCCCACGCGATAACCCATTTCGTTAGACCCACAAAGCCGTCATCATGAGCTGGTAGGAATGGAGACACGTAACTCTAAAGAGGAAGAAACAGGACCATGGCCAGCATGGGGTGAAATGGTTAAAGAAGACGGACAACTACTTTAAAGTGATACCTGGATCCACAGAAAGTAGAAAGAGAACCAGAGAGGACACAGAATCTTCCCAGATAGGACACAGCCCTAAATAATCCCACAGGAGGCAATTTCCACACTTCTCCTAGAGCTACTGCTCTCTTACCAGCCGAAATGCTTCCACGTTGACGGCCCGAAGCTCAGCAACAAACCGCACCCAAACGCGAAGCCCAAGAAACAAGCCCGGATGGCAATCTGAAAAGCAAAGGCGGGAATGCAGGCGCTCGCCAGCCAACCTGTGCCCCAGGACGGCCTCCCAAGCCTTCCTGGGCCACCGCAGATGCTCCTTCCCGACAGGTCTCTGGAGCCGAAGGCCAGGTGAGCAACCCACAAGCCTTCTCTGCTGGGACTGCCTCGGCATCGTGAAAAACCAGCCCGCGGCACCCTCCGGACCCTGCTGAGCTCAGCTTCCACCATCTCCCACGGCTGGCCAGGCAAACTGGAGCGTGATAGAATCCACCTGCATCAACCCTCTTTCCCGACCTGGCGTCTGGATAAGGCCATCCGGGAGGTGAGAGAGAACAGTGGAAAAAAGAAGCCCCAGCAGCAACAGGATGAAGGCATGCCAGCGGATGATGGTGGCTTCGTACTCAGGGTGGGGGAGAGACCCGCAGCCTTTGGGGTCTTGTTTGACTGCTGCCGTTCCCATGAATCCCAGATCATTGTGGCCCCAAACAATGGGAACCGGAGTCCAGAATTGCCTGGAGGGTGGCGGCTTCCATCATCCCTGCTATTGCATTTACGTGCTGGTGGCTTGAGTCGGAATAAAAAGGTGAAAAAGAGAAACTGACGCCTCTTTTATCAGGACGGCGGTGGGGTGGGGAGCTGGCCCCTGAAACAACTCCGGGACCTCTTCGCCTCCTCCTTGGTCCCATTTTGGACTACAGCTCCCATACCCCTGCAGGCAGCCCAGTCCACTGGGACGGTTTTTTGGGTTTTGTAGTCCTTCGGAACTCATTTCTGTTTTTTTAAGGAAAGGGACAGGAGGGCAAAGTTCCCACAAAGGGCAGCTGCTTCGAGGCAGTGACCAGCCTGCCCTGGGGATTGTGGGCATTGTAGTCCCCCCCTTAAAAAAGGGAAAAAAGGAATTGCTCTCTAGGCCACCAGTCCCAGAAACTGAGAGATAGGCAGAGGGGTCGGATAAGGGGGTGGAGCGGCCACGCCCCTTCTCCCGCAAACCACGCCCCTTTCTCGAAGCCACGCCTTTACAGCCGCCGTAGGGCGTGGCTTGCTGTGGGCCCGCCCCCTCGGGCTTTACCTGGTACATCCCGCCGGGCGAGCGTCCCCAGGCGAGGAGGAGGGCGGCGTTGATGCCGGCGACGTGGAGGGCCAGCGCGGCGCGGCCTTGGAAGCCCGGCCCGGCCAGTTACTATAGTTGAGAGTTTACTTAGAATTTTTGTTTATGAAGTAAAGTTCTAGTAGGAAGAAGCTTGACAGTGGGTAAAAGGGGGGGGGACTTGACATTTTCTCCAAAGTAAAAAAATTTGGTTCCGCGGCGCCCATGGCCGACCCGACGAGGCCGGCCCGCGCCCCCTTTCTCTCGCGAGAACTCGGGTCTTCGTGGGACGCTCTAGGACCCCCCTTCGCCTACCATGGAGTCTGGCGTTCTCGCGAGACCTTCTCCTCCTCATGGCCTCTCGCGAGATGTGTGCGAGGGGGGCGTGGCTTCCTTCTCTCTCTCTCTCGCTTTCCCTTGAGAAAGGAACGCAGAGATAAGAAAAGAGTAGAGGTGTTCCGGGGGGGGAAAAATCAAAATCTCAAGCGTGCCCTCGCGAGGAGTGACAGGTCCCGAACAGGAGCGCTTTGCATTAAATATTTGCATAGGCTAATTGAAGAGCTGGAGGGATTTAAATCAGGTGCCCGGCTTGTAAACAGCATTATGCTTCAGTGTGGGGGACCAGCATGGTCATTTCACCTGAGTTGACTTTCCCATCCCCTTTATTATGTTTTTACGCCGCCTTTTACCTTGGAAAGGACCCGAGGCGTCTTACAAACAATGGAAGGCAATGGTGGACTGCGTCGTGGAACGACAATCTTTAAAGTAAAGAACGACACTCCAAAAATTAAAAAGGGGGGAAAAAAAGCAAATGCCACCCTGAGAAATGGAAAACACAAGCGGTCCTAAAAACCCAGTCAAAGCAGTAATACATAACCCATCTTCCCCTTGTGCTTGCCGGGTTGGTTGGATAGTGATGGATTAGGACTCAGGAGCCCTGGGTTCGAATCCCTCTCAGCCATGGAAGCTGACGTGGGGGAGTGGAACTGGTAAAACCACTCCTTAAATATCCCCACAGACCTTGAAAGCCCTTTTTTAGGGTCTCTGTAACTGATTTCCGACTCCGCGGCACATAAGAACAACAACAACAACATGCATCTGTTAAGCCAGACATGGACCAGATGATCTTTGTAAGAGAGGAGAGCATCAAGAGGTGGAGCAAACTGGAAGCAGAGGACTGCCCTTCCTAAAAGGGAAGATGGGGCTACCCTGGTCAAGTTGTCTCAAGAAATGTGGTTAAAGATCAGAAATGAGAGTGTGGACTTCGTGAGCAAATAGAAGGATCTTGAAATCGGGCAGAGTGGTCTGTAGGATCTTGGCCGTGTAGCATAAATCTGAACTGAGATGGCTTGGAGATCATGAACTGAAGGTCCAGCACAATAAAAACTGAAAGATGGGTTTGAAAATGTGACTTTTACTGGCCTCGGTATTCTCCCTTCTATCCTGTGGCGCTGAGATGTAGGTATATAACAGGCCGCTATGGAGGGCCCGTGTGGTGCTGTGTGTAGAGTGTTGGACTAGAACTCGGAACTCGAGAGACCAAGGTTTAAGTTCTCAGCCGGCCATGAAAACTTTTTGAAGGGAAGCAATGATCAGCCACTTCTGGAACATCTCACACTCCTCATCTTAGCTCAGTGGTTTAGATTTCTGGCTGAAGAGCTAGAGGCTGGGAGTTTGGTTCCCCCGTTGACAGAGCCCAGACTTGACGATCTATCGGGTCCTAGGTTATAAGTTGGAAAGGACTTGATGGCACATCACAATCACAAATAAAACAAAAATTAGAAGGCTTGGAAACAGAAGCAAGGGCTTCCTTTTTACATCCCCCCAATATGGCAAGCATTTTTCAAAGAGGTCACCATATACAGCTTGCCTTTAAGACTCACAGGTTACTATTAGCACCCGGCCGTTCCTTAATTGCTATTTGCTTTCTCAGCTCCCCGAAATACAACATTCAGTCCATGCTTTAATACGCTCAGTGTAGACGGCTGTGGAGTGGGGTCAAGAGTGGAAATGAGGTAAAGAAAAATGAGAATTCTGTGATTAGCACGGGTTATGAACTGGTATTGATTAATGAACATTCATGACCAGTTTAATAACTGTAATTAGGATGCCAAGGTTTTAAGAGGAGTGGCTCCTTTTGAAATACCACTAGCTCAGCTATGTGCTGGGTTTTGGAAGGCAAATATTAACCAAAAACAAAACAAAAAAACAAAACAAAAACCCAGCACTAGAGAGATCTTGCTGTAAATATTTCTATTTTTATTTTTTCCTGTCTTTTATCCTTGGTTTGATTCAAGCACACTCCTAAAAACGAACCACACATTACAGTATGTTGTCATCCATCTGAATGTGCCAGATTTTGATTTGTTCCTATGTTTAGCCGCCCCAAGTAGACATTGTCTAGAGGGGCAGGGTAAAAATCCAATAAACAAACAAACAAATAAATAAATGTTTTACTGATCTGAGTTTGTTTTTCTTCCATTTCTGTAAATAAAGTGTGCTGCTGATATTGCTGTATACGTTGCAACATACAAATTATTCTTGCCCTCGCACTGTGTTTCCCTCCACAGAAGCCAATTCTACTAGTTAGGCGAGTTTTTCTAAAAGATGAATACATCGTAAACTGCAGTCTGATTCTCCAAAGTTAAGAAAAGCTAAATCCCAGGAGGATGCCAGTGAAACAATGGTGTGGTATATTGGTTGGTGTGCTCAACTGGGACTTGAAAGAAGGGGGTTCAAGACACACACACACCCAAGCCCCGAAACCCACTGGGAGATTATGGGATTCGACACTGGTTTTCTCAGCCTGATGTACTTCATTGTGTTCTTGTGGCATACAAAATGCAGTGTAAGACAGCATGTTCCTTCTTGAGCCTGCTGATGGGAATATGTGATATAAATAGTGAGTGATAAATGTGGATTCGTCCATGTCCACAATACCATACAGTAGAGATCGGTGGGTTGGAGCCGTGTTCTTGTGGCATACAAAATGCAGTGTAGGACAGCATGATCCTTCTTGAGCCCGCTGATAGAAATATGTGATATAAGTAACGCGTAAATAGTGAGTGATAAATGTGGATTTGTCCATGTCCACAATACTGTACAGTACAGATCGGTGGGTTGGAGCTGTCTGGCTTCAAAAGTCCCTTGTGCCTCTCAGGGGAAGGGCCAGCCAAGATTATGGGGCTGATGGGTTTCCATGTCTTTCCACCCAGGCTCATTTGGACACACTGCAACAACCATCCCAGAGTGCCACCAGAAGGAGGGATTGGAGATTCCCTTGACTCCTGGATATTTTATACCTAGAAAATCTGGAGAGGGTCACCGTGAGTTGGCATCAATTGGACGGCACAGTTTTATTGGGGTCCCTTCCTGCCATAAAAAAAAACACACAAAAAGCTTTCAAATCTCAGAGCAAGGGAAGTATCATCGTCCAGGGAGCTCGAGCATCAGAAGACCGCCGGACAATGAAGCTTTTCTCCGTTCCCTCTGAAGTCACACTTTGCACACCCTGGTTGTGTGTTGATCCACACACCCCCTTCCTCTATTGTGTCTCTCAAGGGGTCTCCCCCCACTCCCCCATTCAGATGGCTAAATGCCCCAGTTGCCACATAAGGAGGCTTGAGAAATCACTGCCTCTCCGGGGTGTATCTCCGGAGAAAGCGTGGTCATTGTGTCTGCCTGGGAAGCCAGCCACAGAGGCCGAACCTCACTGGCTGGCTTTATGCAACCTCTCTGCCCCCCACCAAGGGGTTCTCAAAGCATTTCCCGCCGCCCCCACCCTTATAGGCTTTAATTTGGAAGCGTGACTGCTTTTCCCGGACTGCCTGGCTCGCCTTCCACAACCGCCGTGAGGATTTCTCCTTCACTATTTGCAGATGTACCCCTCGGCCTCAAAAAGCAAGATCAGCAGTCAAGTCACTCGGCTTAAATGTAGAGAACTTGGATTCTTTTTCTTAAACTAAATAAATTTGATGTTTGCTATTGATCCAGCCCTTCAGAAGAGAGAGGCTAAAACCCACCGAGCAATTTCGTGCGCTTTCAAGCTGCAACTTTACGCTTACCACGATCCACGAATACCTCAAAAGAATATCCTGCAATATAGCTACATTTCAGCATACCTAGCACAAATGAAAACTAAAGACCCCCTGATCTCTTAGAGATTAATAAATTTCTTTCAGTGTGTGCTTTCAAGATTGTAGCCCGACATCCATTCATCTTGCTGATGGCAGAATTTTTTTTTGTCTTTTTATTTTTTGCTAGATATGCAATTAATCCTAATTAATCCAAATAGCCACGAAGAGTAGGAAGTTGACCCAGTGTCAACGGATCAATCAACAGTGCAGTTCTGTGTGCGAAACATTCAATATTTAAGTGCCTCTACGTTCAGGGGCTCCAATCCTCTGCACATGTATCACACAGGCACTTACCTCTGAGTAACCCTGCCTCAGGCTGTGCGCCTTGTCCACTTTCTCTGGAGTCAACATGCATTGACTTGAATTAATTGTTGGATCAGCCAGAGCTATTTTCACTGTTCGGACAACTTTTAATTAACAGTTCCGCAAGTCTAAGGCTTATATTTCGGCAGCTCTGTCAGTTCCGGTGTTTTTAATCAAGCAAAACATAAGAGATGGCTTTCTCAATGCAGCAATATGTGGTAGGTTACATTTATTAAAGTTTGCATTGCCTCACCCGTCTTTCAGAATCTGAGAAAGATGATGATGCTCTGGTAGGAAAGGCCTATTTCTACCGAGCTAATTGCTTCATTCAAAGATTCTTCCACTTGGAAAACAGATTATTCATCCACTCTTTTTTTTAATGAGTTGGCCCCAAGGGTCTGTATAACCTTCGTTAGGGGAGTTGGTGTAGACTGTACAATTTTTTTTTAACCTACAAAGAGAAAATAGAATCAAAACAAGACTTTTAGAAATGAGAGCATCATCCTGGTGAAACAGACATCATTTTTGAACAGATCTGTCGGTTTCCTCCAGTGACGGCTTTCAACCAAGTTGATCATCTTGTGGGTGGGTGGGTAAGAAAATTGCCTTGGTGGGAGGGGAATAAAAGAGACTTTGACAATCATCATTGTG